CTACTGAGGCAGGTCCAAAAACTGACACCTACTTGAACTCACTTCCGTATGTCTCCATTAATCAAACGGAAATCAAAGAACATAAATTTTGACTATGTAAACTTACTTGAAGTCAAACCAGAACTCCGGTGCTTTAAAAACTAGGGTTTTGCTCCGTCCAGTAGATGGGAGGAAGAGAGAAGATGCTGTCGCACCTACCAGACTAACCCAAACTCTTCCAAACTTGAACCACCCTCCTTTAGCAATCACAAGACACCTTCCAAGCACAGAGCGCCACACCTGAGCTTCACCTTTCCTGGTAACCTCGAAAATCTCTAGTCGGCTAGGGTTTCGAGCAGCTGCAGAACAGCATCACTTCTTGGCAAAATCTAGCTAGAACTACTCTCCAAACCCTTCTACCAACTAGGCAAGTGATTCTCTATACTATAGAGAACCTATCTCTCCATACACTCTTGATTTTAGAGTGTACAGGAACGAAGAGAAAAAGGAAAATGAACTAAACCCGCTCTAATACCAAGATGTAAATCAGTCCTTTAATATCAAGATTAAACTTAGTAATTAGCAGAATAAAACAGATCCGAATAGTTGTACAAGAGAAGAAGATGGCGAAGAGAAGAGGTAAGAGAAGAATGAGTCTTCTTATTCTCCATTCTCCTCTAACCCTATTTTATTAAGATCTAAAAATTTGATGATGACAAGAATGCCCTTAAGTGGGCGGCCAGCTTGGCAGTTAGATAAAGAAAATAAAACAAGAATAAATAACAAGTCCATTAAGTGTGGCCCATCAATCATTAAATAAAAGATATTACAAGACTGGTTGTTAGGGTCCATTCGGCCCAGTCTCCTTACAAATTGATTAAATCATTTGTTTTCATTTTAATATTTGAATGTGTATAAAAAGTAATATAAAAGGAAATATTTACAAAACTTAAATTATAATGATAAGTTGTGACTTGTGAGCAATATATTAATATATAGTAATAATCTATATATTAAATTACTCAATTTAATAAATAAATATTATATAATTTTTAAATATATATTATATTTATTGAAAATTGAGTTTTTAAAAACATGTCATTTTTTTAAGGGGAGAGTAAAGAAAGAATAGGTTCCACGAATAGACCCTAGAATAAACCCCAAAACCACCAAGGGCAGGAACCAATTCTAGAACCAATCTTTATAGGGTAGGTTCTGGTTACAAAAACCTAAAAAATAACCCATACAAAATATATTCCAAGTTCAACCATAGAACCGAACCAATTCATGCTCACCCCTAGCATTTAGTGAATCGATACTTTGAATCAATGTCTTAAAAATGACTCAAAACTGGAATTGTTCTAGCCACCGATTTCTAGGTTGACGGTTTGACCGTTCAATTCAAACAAATAACCTATTTTGACAAAAATTTAAAAATTTAAGAAAAAATAATTAAAATAAAAAAACAACAAAAAAACCATTGAACGGGTCAAACAAGTCAATGGTTCGACCACCCAGGTCAACAGGCCATTGACCGATTCAACGATTTTTGGCTAAAGACCGGGTTTAAAATAAACAGAATCAGTTGCTTGAATGATTCCCAAACCAAATGGTCTGACCATCTGAAACAAGGGCCGTTCGAAAACCATTCTTTGTACGATGAAAGGACCTTTGTTTTTGGGTAAACCTGGTCCTTAACCGGGTTAGGTTTTCATTGTCATGATCCAGTTCATCCCATGAGTTTACCTGGAGCCAACAAAATTTGGATGGGGAGCATTGGATTATCTTGAGCTCCCAAATCACGCCAAAATGCCAAATGGATGATTTGTAGGCTGTTTTAGGCATTTCGTCTGCACGTTCTGGCCCGTATGTGACTGCCCTCAACGAGTAAGTATTGAATTCAGCAATTAAATGCAACTAGAATTTTTCGGGAGCCTCTCCTGCCTTTCTGAAAATGTCACTGTCCTGTTAATATCACTACCTACCGTTACCTACTTACCTACGTAGATTTTACACCCCCCCCCCTCCTCCCTTAACCAAGATGGGAAAATTGCCAAATTTTATCCTTCAATTCCACAGTTTTTACCATCCGGATATTTATCAAAAAAAAATTTAACTATCCGGATTTACAAATTCTTGGAAGGGAGTCGCATCATCAGAAACAATTCTTTTGTTTTTCCCCCTTTTTCTTCTTTTTGGTTCGTGCTATGTAAAAGCATGAACCCAAAGTTCTGTGGGGATTCAAAAAATACAGACTAGACCATGCAGAAACCAACCAATCAACCCATTTCATACCCATATGCACGTATGCATTGAGCCTAAATGACAAGTGAGAGCGAGCAAATTGGGTCAGAAATTGCAACCTTAGAAGTTGGTGAAGGTCAGGCCAGAGTGCTCTGAGTAACCCCACGGAGCCTCTCGTGTTCATTATTCCTTGGCTGAAGTGAAGAATTCACAGGAGGGATGTGCTGGAACCGAATGACAAAAACAAGATCGGTCCCCCACGGCACGCCTGATCATCACTGTTTACCAGACGGCGGCCAATCTGATGATTACTCTTCTCCGCCCCATGACCAGTCTAGTCAATAGTGAAAACCTTCCTTCTGCCTTACATCGTTGCTTTTGCTGTGTAGTCGGCAGATGGAAGGAGAAAAATGATCACAACGTCAGAATCAGAAGACAGAATCTCAGGGAAAAGATGAAAGATCAGACAGACTGTAACGTCAAAGTGCGAGAGAGGGAAGCTTCTAAAATTTGTCTGATGCCTATGGAGTTGAACGGGCTTCTTAATACTTTCTCTGATAAAATGGCCAACTAACGTCATTTTGAATCCAAATAATAAAATACCCGTTTGAGGGTTTAAATGAAACTCACCAACCAAATTTGGATTCTGGGCTTCTGGAGCTGACGATGAACTCTTTGTACCTTGTTCTGTTTCTTATGTCATCAAAAGCAGAGTTTCTCTATTAAATCCCAAATCCTCCATGTGCTCTGCCAACCCCACCTTCCCTTTCTGGATTGAGAATAGTAGAATCCACAAATCTTTAACCTTAGCTGGCAAAAACAGCATCTCCAACCACCAACCAACTTTCGTGCTTTGCATCCCTGTAATCAAAGTTTCAGCTCCAACCCCGCTGCCTTCCCTTGGAGAGAAGGCAGAAAACTGTTGGCTCTTAGCTCCAACAAATGTTTCACAGAGTGAGTGGTCCATGAATGTAAGAAGCTAGAGGGCTATCCACCACTTGTCAGATGGTGGTACCAATAATGGAAATAACCTGGACTGGACCGGAGGACCGTTTTTTACTTCACTTGTTGAATGGGCCCATATGGGGAAACCTGTCTCAACCATCTTTGCATTGCTAAGATCAGTTTCAGATTCGTTGTATTGGCTTTTGGCTCCAGAATCCACAGAATAAGGACCAAATCACGTCCTAACAAAGATATACATGCCAGATACGTTATAAGCAAATGGAACACTGTTGGAACCTTGCCAGCTTGACCATACAAGGTGGTTAAAAAGATTTGAGGAGTTGATCTGGTAAAAGAGCATCTTAGTATGCGTTTAGAATGGTTTTGGGTCTGTCATTCAGTTCTATTGTCTAACTTGACCATCTATGCCCTTGAAGGTTCATTATTCAGCAACATAATTTGGTGGGTATCTCCTTCACTTGTTGAATGGATCCATCCGAAGTAACTATATATTATTCAGGACCATTAATAGTTTTTTTCCTCCACTGGGCACTGGTTAAAGAACACACAAGGAACTCATGCTTGACCTAAAAAAGATGAAACTTTACCAAATATGATGTCAGATGCAGAAAAATCAATAAATTTAGAGCTGAGTTTATCACCATTGAGCCCATGACAAGTAAAACCAGTAGAGTGGATACCAGTTGCATTGCATATCTCTGTAATTAAAAAACTCGGGAATGGATGGTGAAATGCCAGATACCAGTTGCATTGCATATCTCTGTAATTATAAGATCTCAATATTTCAGAACTAGCAGCAAAATTTTATAACATGTGGAGCCTTCTACCATAAAGACACCCCCCCTCCCCCACCATGAATCACTTGAACAGTTTGCAATCCATCCTGTGAGTGTAAATGTGCATTGAACCATATTCATTCTAAACTGTACGCAATTAACATGATTGCTTCAGAAAACAGAAAAAACAGTTTCTTGGTCTAAAAACATTGCAATGCAGCAAGCAGAGGCAAACGTCCATATAAGGTATGTAATTTTCTCACATCATCATACATTGCAATTCCATAGTGCTGTACTGCTGTTGATAACATTCCAATGGAATGAGGAAGGATGAATCAATGAGCCAGCCCGGCTCCTGGCCATTTGAATGGTCTCGATAAAAAAAGACAATCACCTTTCTTGCCCTTGTACATAGAACACTTCCATACTCAAAATTTCAAAATCCCTACTAACACATTAGATTATCAACAAGAATATATTGGGAAAATTTGACACTCCACACGGGCAAAGTTTCTATGATTTATTCAGGCCCCACAAAATCCATTCCCTTGCAAAAGTCAAGTAGCCTGCTGCCTGCAGAATGTTATAAACTGAAGAACCATGAATTATCACAAAAGAATCACTTTACAACATCTGATGATAGATAACCTAGTTGAAAAGGCAAGAGGATTGTCCAAAGATAATAACAGGCAGGAAAATGTAAATAAGGTATTGATGCCTAGTCTAGGTAAGCCTATTCAAATAAGATAAAGATAAATGCTATTGATCTTTATGGCTATATTTACACATCTAGGGACATATTTAAGGGCATTTGCAACATCAGTCGAGCTGAATGTGTGATATGTACCCTCAATGAAAACCAGGAGTAGGTGCGGTTTCTTTCAGTTCAAGCACAAAGAACAATATATTCACAGCACATACATAATCAGCAGGGGGCATCGTTTGGGTGGCGGCAAAAATTGTTGGGCTTTGATGGAAGACCATTCCCAACTTATCGAATCCAAAAACAGAAAAAATGATTTCTGCCTTCCAAAATAACCAAATCCAAATTTCCTTAAATCATCAAACTTCCACCTGAAATTCCCATAAAGGAAATGAGTAAATTCAGAAAGAACAAACCTTCTCTCATTACATAATGAGGAACTTTTTTGAGTAGATATACATGCACCTTGGGGAAGACAACAACAAAAGCAGATCAAAACTAAGAAGCAAGGAAGCAATACAGAAGCACATATCTTCCAGCTAACCTATACATCGCTGAGTACATATTTGAAGAGTGCCTTCTGATTGACTAAACGTTACATCTACTGTATACAATTTCCCTGTGATTGTCAAGTTGGACCTTGTCGAGGATAAACTCATTGCAGCTCGGCCACAAGAGGAGCAGTTGTCAAGGGTCTGGGTTTCAATACACAGTTCACCGCTACCACTTTATCCTGCACCCGATGACCAGGGGAAGAAGAGGATTTGGTAAAATTACCTCAATTTTAGCTGCGCTCAGAAGGAATTCATCTCAAGACAATAGGTCCGTCTTTTCACCAGCAGCTTCGCTGCCGTTCCATACGGCTCCTCTTCCTCAAATGCTGTCGAAACCCAAGAACTATCGGAGATCTCTTTCTTGGCGGCAGTCTGCTCACTTGGTCGAATGGCTACCAACGTCGCCCCCTTCAGCACCATCCCGTTGGGCAGCTCCAAGTGTGGAGCATACCAGAGTCTCATGTTCAGCGCAGGCACCAGCGTCCGTCTTGAAGCTGTCGAAGCAGACAAGGGCTTCACTCTCAGCTCCTCCAGCTGCTCTCTGTTCATACAAAGAACACCCTGTCCGTCGGCATCCGTCAGGACAAGGCTTTCCAAGGTGTGATGCTCAGCGATAATCGGCTGGAGCAGGTAGTGTCTCGCTGATGCAGCTATCAGAGAACTGATTGTCCAGACGACTCTCAGTTTTAGGCCCCCGTTGGTGTAGAACGACTCAGGGATGTTCCCATTGTCATCTCCGTTTCCAACACACAAGCCATCGTTACCAACGCCATTTTCCTGCACGGATGAAGATTTGGTGGTTCCCGGAGAAAGGACAGATGAAGCACCGAGTATGACGCAGGTGTCAAGGGTGGATCCGAAATCTGCCCTCCATTTAAGCAAAACGCCATCCTCGATTCCTAATTCTCCACCAGGAAGCTCGATTCGGAGGCGACGGATCTCATTGAAGTTCTTCAACACCTGGGTCGGGGAGTGGTGGGTAACGCCACCTGCTTCCATTTCCTCGTCATCACCAACACCTCCGCCTCCCCCACCACCACCGCTACCACCGTTCAGAGACGAGGCAGACGAAGATTTCTTAGGGCCGAGAAATTGACCAAGGGCCTGGAGAGGCTTAACGATGCCACCGAAAACAAGACGGACAAGGTTCGAGAAGACGCCTCGCGTCTTATCAGAAGCGGCAGTCCCCGAAGAAGCGTCGTCGTCAGAGATGACGCAGTCGACCCTCACAACAACGTTATCCACCTGAGGAACCAGACCATGGAACCGACGGGACACAACGCAGCAGCGGCCCAACGCCTTCACATCTCCGATCTTGTTGAACACAATCAGAAGCAAAGAGTCCGGCAACCGATCGAAATGATCGATCTCCGCCACCTCCGCCGTGGACGGCTCCGGCCAGATTTTTCCGTTGAGATCCGGTCGGTGAGACGCCATCGCAAAACCCTCAAAGGAAGATAGACAATGATAGGAAGTCGGAGGCACGGATCAGCTTATACGACCAGTACAGATCAGATCTGATCTACTCTTCAGGTTAAACCAGTAATACAAATGAAACCTAATTCAGACTGCAAACCCTAGCCCTAGTTATACGAAGCGAACGCCGAGGAGAGAGAGGCAAAGCACTTCTCCGGCAAGGTTCTCCGTGCCAGATCTAGCCGGAAATGTAACATCACCGGATCAGAGACGACGACCAAATGAGGGAAAGAGAGGGAGAGAAACAAAGAGAGGTGAGAGGGTTATCGTTCTCTACTTCTCTTCTGAGGATAGATAGATAGATAGATCCACGGAAGAGAGAGAGGGAGAGAGAATGTGTGAGTGAGAAAAAGGAACGTTTTGATTTTTTTAATATTTTAATATTACTTATTTAGATTTTAATTTTATCTCTCTGTCTGTCTCGCTTTTGTGTTTCGCAATTATTTATTATTATTTAATTATTTATTTAATTACGCGGAGCGCGAGAGAGAGACGTTGTTGGAAGGGAGGTTCGGAAGAAAGAGGATTAGAGGAAGGGCAAACCTGTCCTTTACTGAGGGTATATTAGGTATTTGATTAATCTCTTTTTTTGTTATTTGGGAGTCGGCCGCATGAGAGGGATCACGTGAGAATGTTACTTTTTAACCGTCAGATGACTTTGAGCGCCCCCGGTTTTTGTCGCATGACTCACCGGTAGGTAAAAGGTCAACAATGCCTACATTAATTTGTTGCTTTTGGTGTACTTAATGGTGGCAATGTTGTCTTTCAACGCTTCATCGGGGTCGGGGACGGGGCGGTAGTGCTGCAAAACGGATTGGATCGAATCGTATAGACTTTGTTTTAAATTGATTCGTTTATTTTGGAATTCGAAGCGAATCTAATCCATCAAATTCATATCATATTAGAATCGAATTTGGATTGTTGCTGCCAAAATAAATTTGTAGCCGACGGCAACGACGTAATTTTTAGGGTTTTGAGGCTGACGGATCCGACCAGGTATGAGAAAGAAATGTTAGACTCCGATGGTTAAATTAGACGAAAGTTGTGAGGAGTCGGATCAAGCAAGAGAGGAGATTTAGAGTTTAAGTTCCGGTGTATTTACTTCAATGTGGGGGTCTTTTTTTTATAGTTGGAGTTGTTTGAGAGGAGTACTTAGGAGTATGTGGCGGCGGTTGGCAATGGTTAATGATGGGTGGTTAGGATACGTCCAGTCGATGCCACATGTCAAGATCTGCAAGTCAGCCAAATACCACTATATCACTTGTCCCCCACTCTCGAGATCATAGCAATTGAGGTTGTTTGGCAGGGTGCATTGAGGCCTTGACATCGGCCAAAGAGAATATAGTGTATTTGCATGGAGGCGTCAGCCTCGGCTGCAGAGCTCTTCTTAGGGGTTGTGTGGCAACTGCTTCTCCGTTCTCCCTTTGCGTCAATAAAGGACCATCTCGGGCTGAAGGGTCGTGACCATGGCCCGTGTGGGCATAGGCTGTCCATGTTCGTTGTTCATGCCTAGCACGGGCATTGATGTCTCTCATCATATGTCCTTACGCAAGACGGGTGTTGCATGCACGTATGCAGGACGGGCGTCATGTGTTCGTACGTAGGATGGGCATCGAGGTTGATCGAATGAGGCCATGCACGAGACGGTGCGAGAGGGTCTGGTTCGGCGTATCCTTGAGCCAGAGTCGATGGGTGAACTAGCCCCATCTCTTGGCGTCGTTTCGTCTCCCGAGGTTGGTGCCACGTGGAGCCCGTGGGTTCAGGTTGTTAGGTCGGCAAGTCCATGATCGTTGGATCTGAGCCATACATTTTTCTTTAAATAGGGAGGTTGGTTAAGCAACTCCCCACCATTTGCTCGAAACCTTATGCTTGGGAGCTAGTAAGGACACCTTGGCTATCAATAACCAATTCCCTTAAACTTTTTTTAACAAACATCTTTAGGTAAAGGATTCATGTCCTCAACATGTTCTCCTCGAATTTGGGTTGTGAGGAATATAACCTTCCTAACTGGAGTACTCCTAGCAGCACTCCTAGTAGTGATGGGAGTGATAATAGTGATTTTGAGAACTCCTCTTGGACATCTAGTGCCCAAGTGCTGAGGGAGAGAGTTACGTTCCATGGGGTCAAGCGTGATTAGTAGAGTGCGGGCCCTACCAATGAGAGTATTGATTCCAATCGGCCGAGGGTTGACACCCCAGGGAATGTTCTTGGGCACCTTAATGTTGTGGATGTGGAAGAGATCGAGGAACCCACAGCCAAGGCTGAGAGTAGAGGTGTGACATTGAGGCATTACCCCCACTCTAACTTAGACAACACTCTCAACAAGGTGCAAGTTAGTGCGTTGGCCAAGAGGTACCACATTCCAGGGGACTATAGGGTTAAAGTCCCTTTCATGGGTGATTGGCCATGGCTTGCTCCTGAAGAGGAGGTGTGCGTCCACGAGCATTACCTTCACTTCAGGTTGTAGTTTCCTTTACACCCCTTCATGCCCGAGATCCTAAACCATTACAACCTCACCCTTAGCCAGCTCGCCCCCAATGCCATTAGGACAATAGTGGTCGAATTGGTGATGGCCCATCTCTAAGAGGTGACAGTGATGCTAAATATATTTCGGTGTCTATTCGCACTAAGGAAGCACCCTGACAGGGAGGGCTTGTTTTAATTCCAAGGCCAATGGGAAAGGGTGGTGGACAACTCGTCATCTTTCCATAATTGGAAGAATAAATTCTTCTTCGTGAGTTGCCTCGAGGGCTAGTCCTTTCGGTCTGGTTGGGGGAGACCAGATATGTTGACCAAAAGGATTAAACCATGCAGTAGCGATGAGGAGAAGGCCATGATGACTCGGCTTCGTCTGGGCAGGATGATTCATGCCGGACCCTTGGTGAAGGAGGAGGAAGCCTTGGTGATGGCCGGCCTTAGTCCTACCCCCCTCAGTATGGATGCTCCCGCTGTCTGCCAGTTGTGAAGTTGCTTGAGTTTTGTTAGCATTCTTCTAAATCGTTTGCTTCTCTTGTTCATAGAAATGGAGAGCGGGAGGAAGGTGAAATTACTCGTGACGGTGTTTAAGAGAGTTGCTAGGAAGGAAACTACTAGGAGCATGCCTCGGCGTTAGCTAGAGGAGGGGGCTGCAAGACAATGGGCCAAGGCCGAGGTGGCCCATAGAAAGACAAAGGCGTAGAAGCTCCCTTCCGAAACAACCCAAGACCTTTAGGCCAAAAGGCTTCAACTACGCGAGCAACATCGGCCTGAGGGGACCTTGGGTGGATCACATCAGGTGGAGCCTCAGTCGTCTAATCCATGGGACAAGCCGCTCACCAAGCGTCGATTGATAGCTAGCGATCGGCATGGTCCTCCTCGGGGACTGCTAGTCCTAGACATAATATTCAGTGGACTTTGTTCGGGACAAGCTATTAGACAGGGCTGCTAAGGTATGTGTACACTACTTCGAATTTGTTGTGTCATCAAGGTCTTCTTGGTATCTGACTGATGTTTTTCCTTTCTTATGTGCAAAGGGTCTCTTGCTTGGTTGGCCTCTATGATAAGGTTGAGGTGCTAATTTAGCAACTCTAGCGGACGCAAGAGGAGATCAAGCATTTGAAGAAGCATGCGGCCAAGAACCGGGTACGCGACAAGCACGAGCATTGCAAGAAGGTCGAGGTCGAGGAGACCAATAACAAAGAGCTCATGAAGGAATTGAAGTCCTCCTTGGCCTCATTGGAGCAGCAACTGGAGGAATCGACCATAAAGGCAGTCAAAAAATACAAGAGCGCGAAGGAACATGAGATGGACTTGACATCCTTTGCCTCCTAGGCTTATTTGGAGGGCTTCGAAGACTGCAAGGCCTAGGTGATGAAGGTCCCTCTAAACTTCAATGTCAACCAACTAGATCTGTTTGGTGCCGAAGCTCGCTAGGTAGTAGATATATTGAGGATAGACTACAACCCAATCGTCGAAGTTGTTGCTGATGCCACTACTTAGGCCATCGCTCAAACTGGAAGGGGCCAATAAATTTTTTTTTCCTAGTTTTCTTTTGTTTGGGCCTAGGTTCCCTTGATACTTGTAATTTTTTCTTTTTCTTCTTTTTTTTTTCTTTTGTAAGGGGTCGACGCCTCCCCCATAAGAGGCCTTTATTTTGTAAAAACACCTGAGTGAATACAACTTGAGTTTCTTGGCAAAGATGTTCTTTACTTCTTTTCTTTTCTTCTTTTTGCTTTGTGCTAGGGGCCAAAGGTCTCCCCCCAAAGAGGCATCTTTGTAAAGAAACTTTCCATAGTAATCCTTTACATTTAAAGTGTCTTTTACTTAGTATTTTTGCGAGGACGTTCCGTATTAGAGTCTTGTAGGCCGATGCCGACACCACAAGTTGTTCTTTTATTTAGTCTTGGAACTCTTTGCCTTAGTGAAAAAGAAGGAAGTCTATTTTGGTCAAGGCCGACATCAGGCTCAGTGCATCATCGCACAAGGGCTTTGTAGTTGAGGTCACAAGTGGTTCCTTAGTGGAGAATCACTGGTCCGAGTGTATAACCTTAAGGAAGGTTGTATGCTTTGGGGCCAACGTCTGGTCTGAGCATATAACCTTAAAGAAGGTTTTATGCTGCGGTCAACCGGTCGAAGGGTCCTGGAAGTTGGAGGGAACGAGAACATTTACACAAAAAATGAGATCCAGGGTGAGGAATTTTGCACTTTTCATTCAGAATTTTTCACTAAGGTATTTATAACTCTACTGATAGTACATTCAGAGATTCTCAGAGTTCCAAGTGCGAGGCACCAACCTTCCACTTGTTCTAGCCAAAAGGTGTCGGGTCCTAACTGCTTGCTTGATTCTGTAGGGCCCTTCCTAGTTTGGGCCAAGCTTTCCGACACCAAGCTCAGGGACCATGACTTTTTTGAGGACGATGTCACCCTCCTTGAAGTAACGCTCTCTGACTCAGGAATTGTAGTATCTTGCAACTTTTCATTGGTATGTCGCGACCCTGATTTGGGCTTGTTCTCGAACACCTTCCAGTAAGTCAAGGTCATACCTAAACTCGTCACTGTTCTTGGCTTCCTGGTAAGCCTCAGTCTGGAGCATCAATTAGCTGATCTCTGTTGGGATGACAACCTCCATCCCATATGTCAAGTTGAAGGGGGTTTCACCTATGGCAATCCGAGGTGTCGTTCGGTATGCTCAGATCCCTTTGGTTGTGTCTAATCTTGCCTTCAGTCCGTCCAGGATTGTCATATTGGTGACCTTGTCTAGCCCGTTGGTTTGAGGGTAGCCAACTGAGGTGTACTATTGCTTTATCCCTAAGCTTCCACACCATTCTCTGAACTTGGCATCATCGAACTATCGGC